ATAACGCAATGATATAACAGGCCGTGGGATGAGAACAGAGTATAGAAATAAATATCCGAATGTTCAAATAGCTGAATATTTATGCCACTGATTGTTCTAATCTGACAGGGTGGTAATAAAATCCAAGATGTCATGAATACTACAGTACTTTTGAAGAAATTTAATATCACCACCCTGTCTGGAAATATAGTATTTTCATACAACTGTACTTAAATTTTTTGGGGAGTGTGTTTGGGGGCTGTTTTTAGTGAAAATGCCAGCTGTATTTTTTAATTGATTGCATTCTCCTGTCTTAAAAGCTTATACTCAGGGTGGCTACCAAGGTACCAGACCCGTGGCCAGTGTATGGTGTTAGTTTGGTTCTGAAATTTCACTAAGTACTAAAATGCTGGTACCACCTATTATAATTAAGTACTTATGCACAATTTCCTGGTACCCACTTAAATTTTATTATTTTGATCAAGTTCTTAAATCAGGATAGTCAATTTAAAAGTACCTGTTCTTTTGTACTTTTTTTAAAAGAATTACAGAGGGTGCTTTCAACCAAGTAATTTTCTGCATGTTTTGTGAGAGCTACAGAAAAATGGCACTAGTTGTATTACAAAAAGATCATTGTTGTTCACATAAATGTTTTAAATAAGCCATTTTTATTTGTTCTACTTAGTATCCTGTACACTTTTAAGTTAATAGGTGAGTCCAACTGACAACCGTTTCTTTATTCAACATGATTTGGGAGGGTAGGTCTATGCTATAGAGTTTTTCTATCTTAACAGAAATTAAAAAATGAAAATAACAATTTAGGTTGTGTCTTTCTTTTTTCTTTCACTATTACTGTTGGTAAAATGTCACCGTTTTCTGGCTGTTTCTAGTAATGCAAATATGGTTGTGGCCAGAATAGTTCTTGAAATGTTTGTACCTCCCATAGTATGGTGCTTAGTTTTGGTATCAACTTTTCTTTCACAAGGAAAACTTAAGCATTTTTTTATATGATTGTTCACATTAAATTTATTTCCTTTATTTTGATTGACAAATAAACAAAAATTAAAAACATAGAAAATTCTGATATTTTAGAACATATACACTAAAACACTTTCACCATTAGATAAAATTTTTGTGTAATTTTTGAATAAAAAGATTTTTCACATTTACTTCTTTATAAAATAGTAAATAATAAATCCATGTAAAAGGTAAATAATTTTTTATAATACTGTAAATAAATAATGTGTGAAGATAGTGAAAATAATAGTGGTGTCAAGGGAAAAACTGTCCTTTTGAAACAGTTTTTTTTTTTCTTTTTTGGACAGGAACGTCCATGTTTGCTTGGAATCATCTAAATAAATCAAAATAATCTAATTAGATTTTCTGAAAATTATACCAAATTATTTAAACAAGTGAAAAAATATTTATTATTATAGATATAAAAATTTGAAAATTATTGAAATGTTTCTCTTATGATCAGCTCTATATCTATGTCCAAAATAGGAAATTCAAATAGGTTTAACAATGACAAAAAGAAATTTATAAAATAAACATCTTGCATCCACCCACACTGTCATTTCCTGGCTGCTCCCACACACCATTCCTCTTGATGCACTCTCATCACTGTCTTGTGGATCATGCGCTTCAGGAAGGCATTGCAGGTTTTGTCATTCCAACCTTTGATTACTGCAGTGTCCCATCAATTTAAGAATGTCACAGCTGCCATAAGCCAATCATATACCTGAAAGTGGCCTATGAGTTTTCCGCAGAGAGAGAACGTATTATGATGCATGATAACAGTTGGAGTATATGCGAACTTACTTGCTCGTTTCCAGTGAAGCACACACACTCTCCCCAGAGTTACAAACCAAGCACTTTTGCACTGTTGTCAGGTCCTTGCAGATCAAGTCCAAAGTCAGATATATACTTTCTGACGTGCACCCAGGAAATTGCACTTTTGTCAATGAAGATATCATCTATGTATACCAAAGTGGCATCTTGATAATTGCCTTCATTATGAGAGGTGCCATACTGAACCTAATTGCGTAAGGCAATACCTCCACCCTTTCAGTAAGAGTGTATGTGGACCTGTATTTAAGTTCTCCTATGGTCAAATAGTGATACACTGTGCCTATGTTGTCGCTATTCCCTTAGTTTGTCTGCACAGACATCTGCACTTGCCGTGAACACATCTATGTACTCATTTAACTCTCTGTAAACCATTACAGGGCATACCACTTTCTGATCAAACTCAACACTAAAGGCTGGTTCCTCTCTGGTAGGAGCCGCACACAGGGATGGTTTTCTATTGAACTCTACTGCATCTGAAGGAGTGATTCCTACTGCACCCTCTAGTTTTTTTTATCACATTCATCCTGATCAGGAGGTTGAAACCAAGTGACTTCTCGAGTCACCAGTACGTCAATCTCGACAGGACTTCCACCTTGCAACTGGAAAGTAACGACTCTGATCCCACTACAGGCTCTGGTCTCCCGGTCTATAGTCGTCATGCATACAGGACCTTTCGTCTACAACTGGCATATCTCTCTGCTGGCTATAAACAGCAAACAACCAGTATCAACCAGTGTGGTGATGGTTCTGCCATCAATCTGGACCCTGATCTCAGGTAGTGACAGGCTGGAGAAGATACTGGCACTGACATATCTCTTCACACATTTTCAGTTTCAAGACATATGACCCATGGTATGGCAACAGTAACAGTGCATGGTATTGTGCTGTCCTTGCCCTCATCTCCGGTCATTTTCTTGGCTCCAACATCTTTCATTATGTGATTAATGCCATTGCATCTAAAGCACTTCCTGACATAAACTTCCGTACTTTGCATTGGCTAGCCTGCCTCTGCCACCATGATTTCCTCCATCTCCGCATCTCTCATAATTGCCTGGGCTTGAGCAAGCAGCTGGTCAATAGTCAGCACATCCATTCTAGATGACGCACAAAGAGTCTGCTTTATATTGCCTGGCAACACATACACAAATGTGCAAAACAGCATACAGTTGCTCATCCTGCCCAACAAGAACACTAGTTTCTTCAATTCATCCAAGTATACATCCACAGATTCGCCGTGCCACTCAATGAATTGTTTGTACACCATGAACAAATCCGTAATTAAGGCAGTCTTTATCCAGTCAACGTCAGATTTTGCTTTGCTATTGGTAAACTGCAAATGGTCTACCTGTAAGTCTCAAAGGTATCACGTGCTCCGAAGACTTCACTCCACATAACCTGCAAACGAGTTCCAGCATCTCTATCCATTCAACCACTGGAAGACCAGACACCAATCTGTAAATTGCTGAAATAGTTTGTGTTAGTCTTGTCTGGCCTGGTTTTCGAATGCCCACATGCTGAGAGCGCTTTTTTCTGACTGAGGAAAAACTGGTGTTATATAGCTCTTCTAGTCCCAGACCCACACTGCCTATTGGCTAATACCCGTCCAATATTGTTCATATGCAAATAGTCAGTGACACTTACTTCAAGTAGAATGTCTTCACTCAACAAACCATTGTGGAAGGGGACGTAGCTCCTGGTGCTTACCGCACCACAACTCAGAGTCTCTTATCAGGTTGACCCGATTCTTTGTTACAGCTCAAAAGCAGCAAGTTAAGAGAAACATTTTTGTGATAACATAAGGGAAATTACTTATAAAATAGTAACTTGAGATGAAGGAAAAAAGGAGGGGAGGGGGTAAAAAAAAAAACTTAGAACAGTATACAGTACTTTGAAGTTATTCACTCTGACAGGTTGTGAGAAAAGCTGAACTGTTAAGCAGATTGTTAGTTTTTTTTGGTTTTTTTTAACACTTCCTGTAATTTCTAAAGAATTAATACATTTATTTTTAATACAACATTTTTATTACTTCAAATATAATTTTTTGTGAATTTAAACAGTGTGTATTATGTCTGCTGACCAGTGCAATTGATTGACTTGGTTGATTTGTTTTCTACGGTTTATCAACACTTTGCAGGTTATTTAAAACAAGAAAATATTTTTAGATTGTAAGAATTTGGGGAAGATAATAATGGTTTAATGATAAAAATCATACTAATTAACCCATAACTGGGGTTGAGAAGAGCTGGATTCATACCTAATCAGAATTTGAAAAAACAAATTATGTGGATATAAAGTGGGGGATCAATTCTACATTACACTCATTATTTAAACAGACCCCTCACTTTGTGGTCCTGATAGCTTCTATCTATAATTCTCAAAATGTGTGTGTGTGATTAGATACTGTTTATGCATTTCCAGTTTTCATCCGATTTTGATGAAATTTTTTTGTTTGATAGATAATTCTTCAGTGCCGGTTTTGAGTCCAAATTGTTGGTGACAATGGCTCTCCACTACTTCCTGTTCATTATAACTCTCAGCAACGTTTTACTATCTTCTATCTGTTGGATATGTATCTTTCATAAAAACTTTAATAAAAATAAATAGTTTAAATTATTACAATAATATTATTTATTATTATACAGTTCCCCTTTCAGCCCCCCCCACACACTTCAAATTGTTAACCTCCCCATTTGGGGATGTGCCTCAGTTGCATACAAATGTTATTACTAATATTGATTTTTGGGTGGGCTGACTTTAAACTTAAACTGCTCCAACTGAATGGCAAAAATTCCCAGTAATAAAAGACCCAGTCAAAGATGGGTTATACTGCTAGTACATTTATATTCCAGAGAATGTAAATAAATCTAAAAGACATAACTGTAGCCAATCAGTATCTCATTGATTGATTGAGTTGTTTTCTATGACTTAACCCTCTGCAAGTTAAAGCCAGAGAATATTTTTAGATTGTAAGACTATTTCTTTAAGATAATAATGGTGTAGTGATACAAAACTTACTAATTAACCCATAGCTGGAGAGTGAAGAGGTAGAATCCTACCTTTCCAAGTTTATATGCATGAAAGTGAAAATAACAAACCCAGCTGAAATTGGAACTCGGCTCTCCAATTAACAATTCAGAACCATTATCCATTACACCACCTGCACTTCCAAGCTTACACCACCTGGTATTCCTAAATGATCACCTATCTAGGTACTGACCAGGCTCAACATTGCTTAACTTCAGTGATTGTACAGGAACTGCTGTTTCAATGTGATGTGGCCATAAGCCCTGTGCACTTGAGATATCTTAATAAAGAAAATGAGCACTGGATCAAGAGGATATAGATTCAAACTCTACTAGCGAATAAATTTCTTTATTAAGATTTCTTGAATGTGCAGGCTGGTAGATGTAATATGCACTGTTTAAAAAAAAAAAAAACAGGTCATCTGTTCAGACATGGATATCCGCTAAGATAAGAGCAACGTTTAAACTAACAGAAAAAATCCCTTTCTGTCAGTTTTTTTTGGTTTTGTTTGTTTTACGGCATATCAACCTCAATGAGTTATTTAATCCTGACAAGATTTTGATTGCTGGTAATATTTTTTTTCAAAAATGTATTGCTGATGATACTTTTTCTTCCCCAAAAATGTATTGCTTGTAATATTATTTTTCCTTTAAAAATGTATAGCTGGTAATGTCTTTTTTTTTATTTTTTATCCAAAAATATATTGGCTGGTAATATTTGTTTTCCAAAAATGTATTGCTGGTAATAATTTTTTTTACAAAGTATTTCTGGTATTAAAACCTATTTTTACACTTTCATAGTGTTTTGACCCCAGTTTGGGGTTTAACTATTTGCCCATAGCTAGTACTCTAAAAGGCGCAAGCACCCCAGGTCAGGGTGGTCCTGGGAACATCAGCAATTAAGAGGTGGTTCCACACTCCTCAAAACCTGATCAGAAACCTTGCAGTTGGACGTAGTTTATCGTCTTACCCAAGAGGAGAAGGTAGAGGGGTACTGAATGAGGTGGTTGTAAAGGAACAACATAACAGTTCTAAAAAAAAAAAAATTATTAGTGAGGAGATATAACAGTTATGAAGAATATTACTTGGTGAGGAGACGGACACTGCCAAATAACTCCTGTTGTGTTTGTTAACAGAATGATATAACAGGCCGTGGGATGAGAACAGAATGGATGTAGTTTATCATCTTACCAAGGACGAGTTTCTGTTGGTGGCATGACTTGTCTTTGAAATGACCTGAAATGCACACATTATTTTAAAAAATAAAATCTTTTATTTTAATTTTTCATTTCTGTCTGAATTTCGGAGTTATTATTTACGCTAAGACAAGCATCGTCCTCTTTGTTATTTTCATCACAACATTTTGACCATTGTACTTGTTGATATGGTTAACCTCCAGGGATATTTTTAAATTGAGCCTTTTATTTAATCTTCAAGGGTAGTTTTTTCTCCATCAGCTGACCACATCTACAGATATCTTGTCTCATTCAGTACTGCTCAGTTATTACTCATCCAGTTTCTACGGAGCCAACATACAACCAAAGATTGAACTAATAATTACTAGGTCACCAAATTCACAAGCAAACCCTTTAATCCACTAGGCTATCGTCTGTTGGACAATTCTGTGTGGATAACTTTGAAACTTCATCTGCCTGCTGATAGGTGCTGCTGTTGCTTATTTTCATGCTTCACTCAACTCACTAAAACTTTCTCTTTTGTTACAGCTGTTGTTGAATGAAAAACCTGCTTTTATTTGCCTTTCTTTATTAGTGGCTCCCATATTTATTTCTATGCTAGGCCTACTAAGGAGCTCCTCAAAGCCTAGAATATGCTCTAATATGAGCTTTGTTCACTTTAAGCCAGGTGACAACAGGATGAAGTGAAAAGAGTTTTTTGTGGATTTAAAAACAATTTTTGAATGCTTGTAATTCAGGAAAGATTTTTTTTTGTCCCATCTTTGTTATCACAATGTTTTAGCCTGTCTATATTTCTGAGATGAGGTATTATGTACACTATTTACATTGTTCGGACTATCATCCTCATCTTTGTTGCCAGATTTATCACAACATTTTGGCCGTTGTTTGCTCCGGTCTTCTGCAGGTGGTTGGAATGTCAAACTGAACCCTTTATTTCACTTGCTGGGGTAGACTGTTCTAGTTCCACGTGCCATGTTTTAATGGATGTCAGTTATCAGTTATCTTCTCTTAATTCCCCTCTCCAAGTTCTCCACCGCCTTAACCAGGTATTGAACTCACAACTCTTTGTGCTCTCTGGCTCTCACCAGGTGATTCTCTATCTGGATAATCTTCTGGGTATTTTGAACTTAACTCCTTAAATCTATGGGGGTAGATTGTTCTCATTCTGCTGGCCATGTCTAGGGATATCTCATCTTGTTCTTAATTAGTATTGTTCAGTTATTGGTCACTCAGCTTCCATTGAGTCTAAGTTGGCACTACCCAGCCCAGTGATTGAACTCCCAATTACATTTCACCAAATTCACAAATCGACACTTTAATCTACTCGGCCATTTTCCTTGTTATTGTCTTTTGTTGCTTTCAACAATACATGCTCTTCTTTGTGAACTTTGTGGTACTGGTTCTGACAGCCATTTGTTTAAACTACTCAACTTGTTTGTTGCTTTTTGATGTATATTGTGTATTAAATTTTTCAAGGTTTCTTTTCTCATTATGTGGCTCTAAAATTTCAGTCATCTGATTGTTGGCAATGACTTTTTGTATTTCCTTCTCTCCTTAAAGCTTCCTCATGTGTCGCATGTCCTCAGTGGGGCCATGTGTGTCCAAATTTCAAGCAAATTGGCTCCATAAAGAATTCCTTTTCAAACAAGCTCAACAAAGTTCCAATTGATTGCCAAGTTTGATCAAAGGTCATGCAATCAGTTGATTATCAAGGCAGACCTTGTATCTCTAACAAAGACCTTTTTCACAAGCTCAGAGTAGTGGACTTACTACACAAGCAATTATGTGTGTGTTGATTGATTGATTCTGGTTATTTAAAGCCAGAAAATATTTTTTTGATTAGAAGAATTTGGGGGAAGGGGGAGACAATGATTTAGTGATACAAGTTTTACTAATTAACCAATAGATAGAAGGTTATTTGTGTGTAAGTGAATATAATAAAACCAATGAGAATTGGAACTCTGCTCTCTAATTAAGAAGCCATTATCCATTACACCACCTGCACATCCAAGCTTATAATATCTGATATTCCCAAGCGGTCACCCATCTAGGTACTGACCAAGCTTGATGCTGCTTAATTTTGTTAATCATACTGGACAGGTGTTCCAACATGATATGACCATAAGCCCTAACTAGTCTGCACCCAAGAGTTGCATCCAGAAAGAATGCTGTCTTTCTGTTGTAGAGTAGTTTCACAGTGGAGGCTTGTATTTGTACTAAGTTGGCCCTAAAATAGGTCCGACGTACAAAACGTTAGGAACTTGATATAATAGGTAATGATGCAGAGAAATCTAGTGGTGGTCGCTGATACTTTAATATCCAACTAACAGTTGTCCGACATCGACTGACTGACCAACTCACTGAGCGACTTCTAATACTCCTACTTATTATAGGTGGGAGAGTCTATTAACAATAGAATAGGTGTGTTCCACTATAACACTTTCACTTCCATTCCCCTCAAGTTGAAAGAATCTCCAACCTGCAGACATGATGCCTAATGCAGGTGTTAACTTCCTCAACACCTTAAGATCTTAGTAGAAAATAAAGAGTAATTGTAACCTTTGACAGCCTTGGGTATTAAATTGTTGGCAGTTTATATGGGCATTTATGCTTTCTACTGATAATCTTTTTACCTTTCAAGAAAGTCTTAAGAAAACCATAGCCCACAAGAATGAACAGAAGAATTATTCAATGATCCCATCCTGGTGGGTACATGATGATACACCACTAGACAGCCATATCTGGAGACCAGAGATAGGTGAAGATACTGAACAAGAAAAAAAAACAAACAAAAAAAAACTCATGCCTGCAACACATTATACCTCACTTGGTATTTGGTATCAATGACTATAATAAGTAATTTTTGGCACTGTGATTGATTGCTGATGTACAATAGTATATAAAAAGTTCAGAGATTTCAGAAATAACTCTGCTTTGAAGAAGCAAGATAAATATCACTTGACAGTTTTTTTAGGTGAAAAAAATTTTTGTTATATATATATATATATATATATATATATATATATATATATATATTGTAATGTGTGTGTGTCTGTGGGAAGGAAGATTTATTTTTAAGTCGATAGCCCAAACACCATTTGTTAAATCTTGATCATTTTGAATGTTCAATGTATGTGATTGGAAAACCTTGAGGAGTTAAGTGCATTGACAAGGAAAGGAATTATATTGAAAAATAAATATTCCTAAAATAAAAGAAAAGCTTTATTATTAGGCCCCATGTTTATATATGAATGTGTGTTAAAAAAGTACTTGTGCCAAACCACTTTCTAAAATCAAACCAAACACCAGAAATTTTTTTTTGGGGGGGGGTATTATATATATATATATATATATATATAAAAGTGAACATAGAAGTCAACACTTAGAGTCGACAGTCTGTTTCATGCTATATGCAATCGTCAGGCCACATATGCTGTTATTTTTCTCGGCTATTTATATATATATACGGGTTAGTGGTGCATTGTGGGTATTCTATTATGGTGGTTATTTTACCGGAAGTCGTTTGTTTATTTATCTGGGTCAAGTTATATTGCTCGTTTTTATTTCTTATTTTATTTATTTATTTATTAACGTAGTAAAAATTTGTTTATATCACTTATTTAACAGTTTTGTTTTGGTTTGAGAATTTAATTAAAGCTATTTGTTCAATTTTGGGGTTGGTTGTTGTAGTTCATTCTAACTATTATTTTGGTGGGAAGAGTTTTTAATTTGGGATTGGTTTGTCTATTTATTTACTTGGATGAATTTAGGTCAATTTATTTTACTTGTATATTTTCTCTTTTCGGTTTTTAGCAGCATAGTATTTATTTATTTTTTATTTCTATCTTTTATTAGTGTATTTATTTGTTTTAATTTTATTTTTTCCATTTTTCATTTTTTAGGTTATGTAGTAAAAATTTATTTTCATGCCTGCATTTTGAGATGAGCTCGGATCTTTTATTTAATAATTTATTTTGGTCGGGGAAAGTAATGATAGCTATTTTTTCCTCCAAGTAAAGTTTGCAAGTTTTTGATTGGTTGTTGTAGGCTAATGACTTTTTCTT